AGCGACGAACCAGCAGCAGACCCGGCGAAGCAATTGCGACCACACATAACCACACACACACATACCTTGGCGCGTGATGGAACGTGCCGACATAGGGATTGTACGACGGCAGCTTCGCGAACACGTTGTGGGGCACGACGACAGCGCCGGCGTTGGTCATCGCGGGTCGAGCAGCTGCTGCGTGCGGTTCTCGTCGGGAAGTGAGCGGCGCGACGTCGTGGCCAGTGGACGCGGCGGCGGCGCGGGCGGCGCGGGACGTCTCCGTTTGAAGCTCGGGGTCGCGCGACTCGACAACGTGCCGCATCATGGCCAGAGAATGGGAAAAAGAGCCGGTCGGGGGCACTGGCGTTTCGTATGGCGGTAATTTGTCCAATCAAGTTCAGTGGCGAGCAAATTTTGAACAGACGGGACGATGGCGCTCTTGCCACGGTTTTCGAGACGAGCTGTTGCTGCAGCGGTTTAGTCGACTGCGTTGGCGATGTGTAAACCGAATACATTTACTGCGTCAGAGCTCTATAACGTGGCGTTGGTACCCATCGACGGATATTCAGTAACTTGATCGAGCACGACGTGGCAATCAGCCAGTCCGACCCGTGAGCTTTGTGCTCTGTCTCGTGAGTCGCGAAAGAGCACAACACCCAAAGACGGACGATTGTGCAAAGTGCAGGTAAAGGGCGTGGAGAGTGTGTTGTTGAATACAGTGGGTTTGCGCAGCAAGTGAAGGAACATGTGGCAGATGATCGCAACAGTCTAGCGTAGGCTTGCTTATAGTCTGCAGGAGGCACGCGGTGTCTCGAGACTCGACATCATTGATGTGCACGCCACCGCTCTACAAAGTAGGAGTTCGTGCGATCTGAGAATGGGCGCTTGACATTGTTGCGGCCGTGTCACCGATACAGGACATGAGTCGGTGAGGTTTAGTTCGCGCGTTCTGAACAGCGTCGTTCGAAATGACGAGATCGTCTGTTTTGTTCACGAAGCCCCATCTGGACTTGTCAATGTCACATTTCACGCATAGAGCACGCAGCTGAATGGATCCACAACGGATTTTTGCAAGCGCAGCGCTATCATCGCGTGAGCGCGTATGTGCATGTGACACAGCCTTTTTCTATTTTTAGCGATCGTTACGATGCAGACCGAAGGAGAACGCTGACTCAAACGATTTTATTGGCGTGTTGCGCCTTCTTTCTCTAACGCAGTCTTCTTGACTGCTTATCGCGTGTTGAATACGATTTCCGCAGTGAAATTTCGCAGAATTAGAATCTGACTCCTCTCTGATTACGACGGCAAGTGCGTCTGCTGCCCCAACCCGTCGTCCGAATTTTGTCGATCGTTCTGACCAGGAAGCAATGCGATTGGTTCGACGAATCGATGACGCAGACGCGTCATAACTTCTAGGCCAGCGACAAGTCACGCTCGACTGATCCGGCTTCCCACGCTCCGCCGCCTGTTGAACATGAACGAAAAAAAAGGAAAGTAACTCCATGTTCAACATCATTATTTTCTGTGGGGTTTTGCAATGTACGAAGCCACGTCTGCGACGTCAGTGTCTGCTGTCGATACGGTACTCCGACGTGACTCGCCACTCTTTGTAGTGCTTTGTTTACATGGGCGTCAAAACGCCGTAAGTCGAATGTAGTACGTACGCTCCGTGTACTGTTATGGCCCCAACCCGCCCTTGACGAAGTCTAGCGTATTGCATGGGTCTCTGACTTCACTGTCTTTGAACACTGATTGATCTCATCCGAAATGTATCGTCTTTGAAAGCTCTGTGTGGCCGTTCAGTGACTGCTAGCGGTGGTAGTGGTGCCTTTCTTTCCATGCAATGCTTCGCATACGCACGCATGGGTTAAATCCATTCATAGGATTGTCGAGATAGTTCGTATCGACAGCCTTGTGCACATGACATGCCCAATAAACGTACCTGATCCTCTATATGACCTGTACACGTTTGAGTCCTCTGCATCTAGTTTCTTCTTCGGCCTGTAAATCAGGTCTCGCTGTCAATCTGCTTGTCGATCTGATCCAGGTGTAATGATCGGTGACCCACTAAGCCAGCTCCTAAGTTGCATAAGGCTTGTGGACATGGATGACTCCAAACATCCATCCAATCTAGTTGCTCCTTGCTAGACTCATCAATTTGTAATTCAATCGCATAACCTCAATCAATAAGCAAAGAACCTGCTGGACCTCACTTTATCAACAAGTGCGCGGTCTCACAAACACGGGACAATGTCACATGATCCCTAACATATTGGCGATCGAAATCTCGGTCGCAACAGTATGTGCTTGATATCGGGACGCATAATTGACGACTGGCACATTGCATCCTCGGGGCTGTGTTGTCGCCCGAGCCAAGCTATGAACGGTGAACCGCGTTGTATGATTTTCTTCGAGGGCGGCGCATTTTCGAGAATATTTGCTCAAAGTTGTGCTTTGTCCGCCGCGCAGATCTTTTGTTATGCTTGTACGCATTCGGACCCTAGCCATAAAAAAGCTGATGCGCCTGACAAAGACACCTTCGTTTTCGATTCGGTGACAGCGCTTATTGAACAGGCTCCGATCGGGTTGCGTAAGAAATGCACAGTTGACGTGTCTATCAAACTACAACATGTTTGCTCATGTTCAAGCCTCATGGACGATCCCTGATGGATCCATTGACGCTGGACACTTGCGTCGATCGTCTTTGTGCTCAAATGGTTCAGCGGAGGTCAGTGTGACGTTTATCGATATTAGCGTGTCAGATCACTGTATATTCCTCCATTCGAATAGCAATCAAGTCATCGAAATGGCCACTTGAGGGATATGCTGACGTCTTTAATTTGTTACTTCGTCTTCCTAACCATTCCATTCATCTTATGAGTTCGAGCGATTTGTCTGGGCCCTGTGTTGATCGACGTTTTGCTGATCTTGTTATACATCTGAATAGTAACTTCACCGGTCTGTGAAGATCGATATAGCTCTTATATCACTTGGTCGCCACGCATCTACACATCATCGAACTGGTGTAAACTAGCTTATAAGGTTTGGCTTAATTCATCGGTCCGACGGCCTCGAGACTCGATACTATGTGTATCAGCCGCATCGAGCGTCCCACTTATTCAAAATGCACCCGCTTGAAAGTCTGATACGTGTTTGTCTTCCTGTGAGCAGAACACGACGCTCAAGTGTTCGCTGAGCAGTAAAAATAATGCTTCAATCGATTGTTGATAACAATCAACTGTGTTGAAAAGAGGGTAAATAGAAGAAATCATGCTCGGGTCGTCAGCTCCACTAAGTGACTGTAATTTATAAAAAAGTATGTACCAGACAATTGCGAAAACGAATTGGGTGAGACAAAATAATTAAAGTAGCACCAAATGCTCAAAGGTCAAAAATGTACAAGTTTAGCACGAAAATAAAAAAGAATAGGACGAAACATATAATGACGGCCACCAATTGCTGCAAAGTAAGTAAAATATGCGCCAGATAACGAGAAGATATATAATCACCACGGATGTGTACAATACGATCGGGCATTCACACGCTTTGGATACATCGATAAAGATATTTGTGTCTTTGGTGTTTCATGAAACGTCGTAGCAAATTTACAGAGTTGAAGCAACACCGGCTTTCTGGTCGTGTCGTACCGGTCGTTTGTATTCATGACTAGCTTGATATGCATTATGAACGAAGTCGTTGAGACAAGTGCTTTCACCTCAGGATACAACAATTTATGCGACGCGGGCATAATTCTGTGTCGATGTACAGAGACCGACTATCATAAGAATGCGGTCTCATGAGCTGCTAGACTATGATGCTATGTATTCGATATATACAGAGAGGGACGAGCTACTGCGCTTGTATACACGAATTTTCCACTGCAGATGAATTATTGCACCTATCGCAATCCCATTCGTACCGCAACATCCAGGTCGACACAATTTTAGAGCTACTACCAGATTTTATTCATGGTGACCATAAGATTCCATGAAATGTCAGGTGCTTGTTAACAGATAATCTGCTTATAGTGACACTAGCATTCACGTCAACACGCATGGTAGCGTTGATTGATTTCCTGTCAGCCCTTCAGAATAATGTCGGATCTTGGCACCTCCAACCCGTCATTTTCGGCTGCCGTAGGTCTTTCAGTCCTTACCTATGATTGGAAAGACAGGGTAGTGTCATTGCGTCGCGCTGCAATGATATAACAGAACTGACCAATATTACCAAAAGGCGCCAGCAACACTTTGTTACAATGTGTAAATCCAAACACTGGACATACGTGCTAAAAGCAACATGATGGTATCATTGAACGTGAAAAATGCTGGTGGGACTCGCTTGTAACGTCGACGCACCTTTTTCTTCGTGCATCTCGACCGTCGACAAGTAAGATCTATAGGGTGGTAATTGATTCCAAAATATTGAAAATGCAGCAGATAAATGTGGATGTGTATACACGGTCGTAGGCATGTGCATACTCGGTCGTAGGATACATCAGTGGTGCTTGGATTCTATTTTCTCATCTGGTGGTGCGAGTTTAGATTTTAGCTTACTTTGTGCAATGTATTTTTTCGCGTGAACTTAGTGCATGGCAAATATATCCAATAGATGAAATTGTTGAGACAAATACAATTGTGAGTGGTTTAGAGAGGTCACATTCTCGATAAAAATTGCAAGGTCGGCACACGCTACTTCCTGCCATCTCAGCTAAGTGACTGCGCCAGCTACATGAAGTAACCGAAAGTGACGCCTGGTCCGGTCTTCCCACGGCGTCACCTAAAAGAGGTCGGTCACAGCCACCACTGGGTAAAATCCATCGATCAATCGCTGTATCTTATCAGACATTGCGAGAATGAATACTCTTTCTGCGCCTCTCATTTGACGTTTCATCATCATTCAATTTCCATTCTCCCAGTCAACCCGTCAATTTGTGGCGCGAGCGACCCTATAGTTCGACGGTCGACAAGTACAGAGCGGCATTCATTTGAATCTTAGACACTTAGCAGTCACTCAATCCCATGTCAGTGTCTCGCGTCTTCTTAGTTGCGAGCCTAACGGTTGCGCTGGCTCTATCGGCAGCACCTCACATCGGTGTCAGCGCTGAGGTCGCATCGAACTCGCAGCGGCGGCTGATGAATGAGGTTGTAAAGGTGCACGTGAAAGTCCATCGTGACGCTCAGCACGAGGAGGAGAAGGACAAGAAGGAAAAGAGTTCGACAGACAGTCGCGAGACGGTCCGTAGCTATGATCGAGGGACTGTCCGTATCGATTCGATCGGTTCAAAAGCCACAAAGAAGTCCGGGAATAGTCGGCTCGAGACCCACGCGGCTGAGCAAACTCAGGACAACGAGACGGAAGTCAATAACGAGCACGGGACGGTCGAAATCGCGGGTGAAAAGGACGGCAGGACCACAAGGACCGAGACGGGAAACTCGAACGGGAAGCTCAAGAAAGGGGCCGCAGCAAAGGCGCTGCAAGTCGGTGGGTCAGCGCGCAAGGCCACTAAGATCGCGACGAAGCTCAGCAGTGCGGCTTCTGCCGACAAAACCTCCTTCCATGACACGTACGGACCAATAGTGGTCATTTGCGGCATCATTGGGGGCCTGGCGGCTATCGTTGGTGTCGCTGGTTTGGTGATGGACCAACCCCATGCGAAAAAGGGTAACTACTTGGACGAGTCTGCTGAAACCGACGTTGAAGCAGGTGTCGTGCCTGTGGGAGCGCACGACGACGATGTAGACTCGGACTTGAGCTCGGACTCTGGCAGTGACGATGACGGCGAGGAAGGCGTGTTTTCCAACAGTGCTGTCCAGTCCGTGTAGGTAGTTGCAGGTGGCGAATAGGCGTAAAGGCTGTAATCTTCTGCCGAGAGCAAAGAGTTGGTCGACCGCTTCGCTATGTTCAATGCCGGGGGCTGTAATGCAGCCCATGCCATGGCATCCTCATTTTACTGTATGTTTGTCTCTTCTTTGCTAGGGGATCATTCCTTGGGTGTGATACTAGTCGTATTTCTTCCAAAATATAATGCAGACTTCAATGCAATCTCACCCTATCTGCTGTCGATCTCCCCTATGTGCCGTCAAATACCCTTTGTGCTAAAACCAATGTTTGTACCGTATCATAGATGATATGCTCTGATGCAAGTATATTCGAAGCTAAAAAAACCTACATTCACACATGCACACGCTATCAATAGAAAGCAGCAGTAGACATGACTCTAGAATTGACGTCGAGCATGTTGAATGGGCATTGATGCAATCGCATCCTTTTTCAACTTATCCACACCTCTTCTGCTATACGTCGTTTTACGTCCTTTCTACTATGCTCGATACGCACCCATCCTCTCTCGCACCATCACTACACCAACTATTGCTTCACTGCACCTTTGAAAATGAACTCTGTCGGCACCACGTAGCAGGAAGAGAGGGATGTGTTCGGTTTGGCAGAAAGATAGTTCATCGATAAAAAATAGGGTGTGCACGTACCAATTCCCTTGAATAACTCCGATTGCGTGTGCACTTTCTTACACTGCGCAGTCCAAGCGATCGGCTACCTGTTCGTACAGTTAGACTGCTATCGCTGCCTGGCTCCACTTTGGTAAACAAAATGCAAAATCTGCCTTATCCCATGCATGCTACTCACACCTTGCCGTCATCGGCTTTTCGAGAGATATGGAAGCGCCTTACGAAAATATAGGCTGCATAGCTGCATAACGCTTGTTTGGGTAAGACTAATGAGGGTCAACGGTCAGAATCACTTGACGTTCTCGCTGCAGTCCACCTGCTGCCTCAAATGGCCAAATATGGCAAAGTCAAGGAGTGCTTACAACAACCAGTACGGATCACAATATTCTCGATCACATCCAGTAAGCGCAATCAAAGTGCTCCTTCGATACATGTAAATATCAACTTTGCCGTCGAAGCCATCAAAGATCGTCGTCGTCATCGGCGATATGTCGGCACTGCACAATGCACGAGCGGCGTTTTCGTTCTGCCGTCGCACCGGTTATTTACAGGGTGTGCGAACAAATGTGTGTGTGGTGCACCCAATTGTACGGCCAATGTGGTCCTAAACATAGGGTCAGCGCACTTGACCGACTGACGCGGGAGACAGCAGTTCTACAGTACGCGTGTCCCCCACTCGCTGCGACTGCCACTTTCGAACGTGGGTACAAAGCGTCACGCAGCGTCGATCGATTCGGGTGGCGGACACCACACAATGCGTCACGGACAATGGCTCGCGCTTCTCCTCGCGGCAGCTCTGGCAGCTCTGGCAGCTGCCGATACTGTCGCCACGGAGCCGAAGGAGGTGGCGATTGACGTGGATGGCGACCTGCCGGTTCAAGACGAAGCCGAAGTGCTCGAAGCAGCAGACGCTGTGGACGAGACGGCCGCCGCTCCCGAGCCGAAGATCGATCCGCGGCTGACGCTCGAGGCCATGAAGAAGCTCTTCGCCAAGATGTCGGCCCGATGCCGCCAGCAGCTGCAGGAGAACGCGCCGGACGCGCCGGAGGTGTCCGACCGCTGTCGACGGGAAGCTGCGGGTCGCATCCAGCGCTACTTGGCGCGTCTCGACAGGGAGGAACGAGGCGAGACGACGGCCGAGGAGGGAGCGAAGAAGGCGGACGCGAAGCCGCAGCAGAAGAGCCGCAAGGGCAAGAAGCGAACGCGGGCGCAGCGAAAAGCTGCAGCGGCCCAGAAGAAGGAGGACGAGTACCAGAAGACGCTGCAGATCATTGTCGGCTTCGTCGTGACCTTCGTGGCCGTCATTGCCGGCGCCATGTTTGTCATCAACCGCAAGCTCAAGGCCGCTGGACTGTACTTCGCGGACCCGACTGCAAAGGCCTCGTGTTGCTGCGACTAACGAGAGGGGGGAGGCACGACGTCGCTCAGCAGGTGTGGAGCTGAAGGTGCAAACGACGTGCGCTGTTTGCACTTGCTGTTGGTAGCACACGTCTATGAGAGTTTGCTAAATACCGATACTGTCTGCGCTCGTTCGTTCGCACGAGCTGCAGGTCAGACGCCTTCATCAGTGCTATCACACGACTTCGATGGAGCCATGTGCTGAGCTGTTCTTGCCCTTGTCGACCGGTGCGACAATGAGCGGCGAGATCTCACCGCGCTTGACTCCATTGCTCGCACCGGTCGGATGCACTGGATCGTAGTGCTCCGTGTGTCTCTCCGACAGGACGATGATGCCGCCCACTGTCGTGACAATGCTGAGAGGGTAGATGGCCAGCTGCCACCACGCGTTCATGCCCGCGATCTCGTGGAAGAAGACCACGCCCGACACCGAGCCGATCAGAATGAGGAATGCCTGGTAGATCGCGACGAGGTAGAGCGCTTCGTACTCGCGCAGGCCTTGGTCCAGCACGAAGATGCCACCGCCTGCTGACGACAGAGCGGCTGCAATGATAGCATACGTCTCCACGTTCGACCAAACGGCTCCGCCTTCGACAACCAGCTCGATCGAGGCCTACATGCGCACGACGGCAATCAGTCGAGTCTCGAAGTTCAGTCAACTCGTGTCACGGTAGTTGTCAGCAGCGGACCGTACCTTGAGGAAGAAGAGATTGCCACCGATGAGACCCGACAGCGCACCGAACGCAAACCTTCTCCAGCCGCTCTTCTGAGGCCATCTGCAAATGACCCACGCCAACTGCGACAACCAAAAAGCATCAGCTCCGAACGTGACAGTCGATCGATCCCACGCGTACGAAACCACGCACCAATGCGGCAGTACAGCCAGCGAAAAGCGCGTACTCGACGAACAGACGGCTTCGGAACAGTGCAAAGAGCTCCGCACTGCGATGTGTCGGCGTGTCGTGACTGCCCGAGACGCCCACGAGTAGACACCCGAGCAAGATGACGGCCGTTCCTCTCACGTCTTGAGTCGACAGCTCCTCGTGCAGCAGATACGGCGACAACAGGATGTTCCACACGACGCTAAAGCCGGCCATGGGCGCCAAGATGGACTAACAGCCACACACACACACACACCAGTGCAGCACCACACATAGACAACAGTCAATCAGCAGCTCCCGTGGACGTTGCGTCGTCGCAGCGGTCGTACAAAAAGCGACGGCTCCTCTCACCTGCGCAGCGTACGCGTAACTAATGGCATCCAGCACGGGATTGAGCACGAACACGCACGCGGCGGCCGCCGTCTTGACCCATAGCGCCTGCGACGACGTGTGCGAGAGCTTCAGCAGCACTTTGCCCAGCGTGCCGAAGAGTGTGGCCGCGAGCGAGAGCGTCACGCCGACGGTCCAGAGCTGCGGAGACGCCATTCACAGTCGAAAGTGGTGGGAACGAGCAGCGGCCGCGCGCGTCGACGCGTGTGCAGAGACCGATCGGAAGAGAGAGAGAGAGAGAGAGAGAGAGAGCGCGACTTGTGCACGAGCGGACGTTCGACCCGACCGCTCAAGTGCTGTGGAGCCACTACCGGAGACCGCCCCAGCAGCTGTTCCGACGGCCACGCGAGCGCACGAACGTGTCGCACGGTATGTTGACGAGCAAAATCGGAGTCGTCGGCTGCACACACAGCCCGTCGCACGAATCCGTTGCAGCTGTCTGATCGATTCGACGGCCGCGTGTTGGGGCACTGAGTGAAGCCGTCTGTCTGGCAACACGTTTCTCACTCGATGGACCGACCCGCTGAGAGCGTGAGGCGCTGGTCCAAAAGCGCGTTTGCAACCACTTTCCAGCCGTTCGGTGCCAATCCCAAGAGCAAAGCTGAGCTGCGCAGACTTTGCATTCGACTGCGACTTTGGCGCAGGCCGAGGAACGTCGAAAGCCGATCGTAGAGAGGAACGGAAGGGGTTTGTTGTTTACAAAGCTGCACCTGCTACGACATCGCGGGACCTCCGACACGTTTTCCAACATCCGCTGTGGTCTATCGGTGTGGAAAGAAGCGCTGGCTCGGAAGTAAGTGTGCGTAGAGCTGCGACCGGTCGTTGGAATTCGTTGATGGAGGCGGAATTCGGAGCTACTTGCAATCATGCGAAAGCGAACATGTCTCACTCGGGATGTGGAAAGACACACGAGCCAACTGCGTCGATGTTCAATTGCTCGGAGTCTCAACCAATGAGGAAGCGTCTGCTTCAAAACCGCCCATTTTCTGTTCCGGGTGATCTCGTTGTACGATTTTGCCATTGACCGGAATAGTGACGTGAACGTCATCTTTGTAGATAAAGTAGAGACTCCGTAACTTATTCTTCTCTTATTTAATAACCTCTGTCATATAGTAAACATTTCGAGTCCCATGTTGAGCCCAGGCCAAATATTCTTAAACTCCCTTAACTCTTGTTATTAAAGGCCCAAATTTTTTCGCCATACATATGTTGAACTTCTAATGAGAAACCACAACAAAAAATTATACAGATGTTGCTTAAGGGACCTATGCTAAAGATTTCCCCCCTGATCTTGCATCTTCTGAATCATTTCTGAGAACTCCTCTCCAGTCTTCTGCTGCAACCAGACAGTCATGAGCTCTGCAAGCATCGATGCAACATTCCGAAGAGGGACGGGCGGTGCGGCCACGCCAAACCACTTGAACTACAAGCCCGTGGGCGAGTTTTATACCGAGGCGCCTTTATGACAACATGTAGCACCTTTTGATTCAATACTACCCCCTAACTCTGCTACTAAATAATTCCCTTTTTTTAATCAGAATTTGACGGTCCCAGCTATACTAAATTTGGAAGACTTAAGTGTAGTTGTCTACGACACTAGTACCCCCTGTGTGTAACGGGGCTCCGACAACTACGTCCTAGATGCCAGTACGGAGTTAACTTTCACTGACAACAGTGAAGGTCAGTGCC